GCGCAGCCCGAGCACGGCGTGCTTTCGTTTTCCAGATAATTTTTCGAATTCTCCTCCGTGTACTTGACACACGATATTGACCGCGCGGAATATTCTCCGCGTACTCTCGCGAAACATCCGCTCGCGAGAATAATAACCCGCGAGAAAAATGAAGGCCGTGCGCAAACACCAATACGTTAATTTTTTTTTATACAAATTATACGCCGTGTTTTTCATGCGCGTAATTGTTCCTGCTAAACGATGTCTTGATTATAATTTATGTTATGTCTAATAGTTTTATTTTATGTATGACTTATACAGGGGAAAGTCCCCTATTATGGGATAGGCTTCTAATGCGAGATCAGCAGGTTTTTAACGTCCAAATTCAATCACTAATCTTTTTCCGTGACGATTACACGAGCTAACGATGAATTTTCCATTAAACAGATTTCACCTCAAATCCCGCTATCCCATATTAGGAACTCGTCTCAATAGTAGGGGATATTCCTATATAAGTACGATATTTTTTAATACTAGAAACGATAAAACGCGCGCTTCGCGCGCGCAGGTTGTGATCGAGCATTGTATATTTTTAAAAATTTGTATACACACGAAGAAATAATTGTATGCGCAACGTCAATTTAAAATAATAAGTAATTTGTCACTCACTGATACGGTTCGCAACAGCAAAGTTGAACATCGCTAACCGTGTTAAACTGTAACAGTACAAAATGTATACGATTATTATAGACTAATTATGTAAAATCCAAACTATTGTATTAAATATACTTTATATTTTATATTTTTGAAAATGGGTATTTATTAAGACGATTATATAGAATACCGAAAGTCTCCCTTTTAAATATGAACTCGCAAAATTTTATTTAATGAAAACTCATAAAATTTATATGCATGGTTTTGTCTCCTCTAACACTTATTCGAATGCTCGTTCGAATCATTTGAATAGATAAAATAAAAGCACAGAACAGATGATTCACTTTGCACAAGTAGCAAATAACAAAAATGTAAGACACTTACCTTACGATTTCTCTGCCGTTGCCCGATGCCGCCTATGCCTGCTCCTCCTCTCAGATTTTCTTGTTGCACTTACACTCACAACACTCGCGAAAATCGATCGCGCGAAATTTCGGACACTCCCGTACGCGATGTGAAATATCGCGAAACGCACGAAACATTATTAACAAATATCGCGTGACTTTCATGCAAATTACTATCATGCAAATTACTCAAACTAACAACTTGCATTTTTTATTCGGAAGAATAGGATAATGGATATCACTTTTGAATTGGCGATGTAACGACGTGCAGTAAGCGACGTTCTTTTCTTCCAGCCTGTTCGAGTTGCGAACAACGACGGAGCGAATTACAGCGCGAACGCCGAAGTCGCACAAATATCTCTCTTTTCCCGAAAATGGAACAGATTACACGAAATCGATAGATAGTTAAAAGTGCGGTGTGTAAACGAGATGTAACCGCGACAAAGTACCACGTTTTACTTTCATATTTTAGATGCGTTAGTCTCGTAAAATATCCAAATACACGTTGATAAAGAGCCGTCGCCTCAACGCGCAATTCGTTTCTCATTACAAGTTGTAGAAACTCAATAATTAATCTAGTAGCGTTACTTGTCACTGATAAAGGTGTCCAAATCAATAGCGTTTTATCCTTACATTCTTCACGATCGAGTCTTGGAAACCGACAACGCAAAAACAATATCACGCACGGAGCAACTCGCGCCACTGCTTACCGGCTCGACGTTCGGCGAGTGACTGCGCGGTGACCTTCGTGTGAACAATGGTCCGCGTAGCGTCGTACGATACCGCGCCGAGTGAAAAACAACAAAAAAACGTTCGTTTTTGTGTTGAGAATTCGTTGGCCCATCTACGTAATGGAAAATTCCGTACTTATCACTCTCTCGCCGAACATCGAGCCGGCAGGCAACAGCGAGAGTTGTTCCGTGCGTGATATTATTTTTACGTTACCGGTTTCCAAGACTCGATCGCGAAGAATATAGGAATAAAACGCCATTGATTTGTACACCTTTATCAGTGACAAGTAACGTTACGTTCGGTTAATTATTAAGATTCTAAAACTTGTAATAAGAAACGAACTGCATGTTGAAGCGACGGCTCTTTATCAACGTGTACATGGATATTTTACGAGACTAACTCATCTAAAACATGAAAGGTAAATCGTGGTACTTTGTCGCGGTTACATCTCGTTTACGCACCGCGCTTTTAACTATCTATCGATTTCGTGTAATCTGTTCCATTTTCGGGGAGAGAAATTTGTGCGACTTCGGCGTTCACGGCGTAACTCGCTCTGTTGTTCTTCGCAATTCGAACGGGCAGGAAGTAAAGAACGTCGCTTACTGCATTTCACGGTATTTTACGTCGCGTACGGGAGTGTTCGAAATTTTGCGCGATCGATTTTCGCGAGTGTTGTGAGTGTAAGTGCAACAAGAAAATCTGAGAGGAGGAGCAGGCATAGGCGACATCGGGCAACGGCAGAGAAATCGTAAGGTAGGTAAGTGTCTTACATTTTTGTTATTTGCTACTTGTGCAAAGTGAATCATCTGTTCTGTGCTTTTATTTTATCTATTCAAATGATTCGAACGAGGATTCGAATAAGTGTTAGAGACAAAACCATACGTATAAAATTTTGTAAGTTCATATTTAAAAGGAAGACTTTCAGTATTCTATATAATTGTTTTAATAAATACCCACTTTTTTAAATATAAAATATAAAGTATATTTAATACAATAGTTTCGATTTTGCATAATTAGTCTATAATACGGTCCTTTAAAGAGAAGTGAAGCACATCGCGCTTCGAGAAAATCAATCGGCATCGCGGAGAAGGGCCTTAACTGTTCGATATTAACGACATTCGCGCTGGTAACATGTCTTTTTTAGTAAGGGATTATGACGTTCGCTTAGACCTTCCTACTTTGGTGCAGGCATCTCGAGCGGTAACAGAAAGAAACATCATACTTCGGCAAGTTCTCCTCGCGCTTCCTAAACGCGGTTTGTATGCGTTTCATCAAGCGACTCTCCAATTTTCGACGTAACGAGGGAGACGTAACGACAGAAATAACATTGGTTTCCATGCGCGGCGAGTATATTTTCAGTAAAAATAAATTAGCATCGCGCGGACGCCGTACTTGCGGCAAAAATCGATAATTCGCGATAACATTTCCGAAATTGCAGTCATTCGCATGTCACAAATTCACAAGCTCATGAATGATGTACAATTTCGACGTAACAAACCTCGCAATTATAATCGAGCTATAACAATATTGGGATTGAATATGAGAGCAAGAGGATAAACGGTTCCTGTATATTTAGCGTTTTATTAGAACTTTTATTAAAATAAGAATGTAAAATAAAACGGGGAAATATAAAAAAAACCTTAGGTATGTACATAATATCGATAATCTTATATACTTTTAAGCTGCAGTAATTTTATTTTTAAAAGCGTTCTTTATTTGTGACATAGATGTGAAACTTCAATTTTATTTAGATGAAATTTGAAAACAAATCTGAAAATAGTCTTAAATATAAGATCAAATTACACATATGATTACTCTAGTAATACTGTGTATTGGCTAAATATTTACTAAACATTGACTAAACATTGACCCAATTATTGGTTATATTGGACCAATGTTTAGCCAATATTTAGCCACTGCACTGTACTACTACGGTACGCTAGAAGGCAATTTTTATACAATACACACATATCAAGATACAAATTTAGATACTGCGATAAATATATTACCTGAAAAGTAAATTTTTATTACGGAAAACTAATTGAAGATTTAAGGACACTCGTGAGATATTCATATAAAACCAGTCGTATGCGTGGCACTACAATAAGTTTTTACATGTAAAGAAAAAACTAAAGGCAAGAACCAATCATGTTAAAGAATCACTGAATATTCACCGAGTTGCTCGTTTTACTGCACGTAGCCAATGAGCGCATTATAACAGTTGATAGATACATAGCAAATGAATGTGATTGGTTCTTACTCTTAGACCCAACCAATCACATTTAATTTTGCACATTTAATACTATAACCGCCCACAAAGCGGACTGGTTTATAGAGTCCGTAATGCGAGGTCTACAATGCGAGTCGCAGAGTCGTAGTCGTAAGAATAATCGACTGCGATTGGTCAATTCCATTAGACACATAAGAATTGACCAATCATAGTCAATTATTCTTACGACTACGACTCTGCGACTCGCATTGTAGACCCCGCATAACCTTAAAACAAAAACAGGAAAGTTCAATACTGAAATCTCAGTGCTTTCGTTCAAGAAACATTGTGAATTCTTCGGCTTTCATAGACCAGCCTTTAAGTTGTTAAAAGAAGAAGAAAGTAAATAAAGGGAAGTAGGTTAACCCCTGGTCCACAATCTTGCTTTAAGTAAGCTGTAAGCCTTAAGCTGTAAGAAATTAACCAATCACAGGCGAGAGTGAGGGGAATAAATGCCTGTGATTGGTTAATTTCTTACAGCTTAAGGCTTAGCTTACTTAAAGCAAGATTGTGGACCGGGGGTAAGAAGAAAGATCACATTAGAACATACATTTGATATGATTTACAAATATCGATAAAATAATATACCTTTCAATTGCACGTCTCGTGTTCAACTAGAAATCCAGAGGAGAGTGGTTTTCTCGATGAGTTTCGGAACGCAATGATAATACTAATTTCGAGATTCTCAAAAGATAAGAATTCTTTTATTACTTCATTGCGGAATTGTGTTTTAACTTTGATGATTTTCCAAAGACCCGGAGAAGTTTTGATTTTCGAAATTATCAATTTCAATAATTGAAATACTATACTTTTATGTTAGTGCATATAAATTACACGTTAAATATCTTGTTTTCTTTATTATTTTAAATGTTTTGATCTTTTAAAGTTACGTCAAATTGTAATATTAAATATCATACCATTTCAATTGTTTCAGGCGACCTCGACAGTTGGCATAATCGCTCACTGCGCTGACCCGTGGACGAGTGGCTCGCGCTTTACTGTAATTCAGTGCGTTACCAAACTCATCAAGAATGAAGTGTTTCAATGTGTCTGCCGCCGAGTGTACGTGTTGGCATGTTTTGTAATTCGCATGGACATAACGAATCCGAGTTTTCCGTCATCGCGATGTGTCACGCGCGCCACGATCGTCCTCAGTGATAAATTCCAGTGCGCTTATCGAATAACACAAGCGACGTACGCCGTTAACACGTAAAATGGCGTGGTTCGGAGATGGTTTTTCCAGCCTCTCCAGTTTAAAGGGACAGGTCACGAATTTCACGAAGGCGGTCCTATCCGATGGCATCGTCGACGAAATGGGTGCGTGTTAATGTTCTAAAAGTATAGCACGATTCCGGATCTCATTATTTTCGTAAGGCGCAGTTACTCCAGGAAAAGGTTAGGTTACAGCTGTCAAATGACGGTTCTACCTTACCGAGCAGCTATTACCGACCGAGTGAAGCTGACCCTGTAATTCGCGCGAAATTCTTTTCTTGTAACACTGTTTTAACGGCTGTAATTAAAACAGTTATGCATACACTGGTCAAGTACAAAAACCCTTATCTTTTCTGTATCTGTGTTTATTTAAAATATAAATTTATTAAATATGATATGGTTAAAACTCAAGTCAAGAATTCATGCATTTTAAAAAAACAGCAATTCATACTAATCTTCCGTAGTTTTTAAAATTTATTGCTTTATTTATTCTACTGTAAGTTAATTTTACGTTATTATTTCAATGTTTGTAATTGTTTGATTCTTTATTTATACATTTTTTGGATTTCTGCGAGAAAAAGTTTACGGCTTTTGCATTTATTTAAAAACTCGCCATAATAATTCTTTTCCAATTATGTCATCTTTAAATTAATAGTCCAAGTTAACAACGACAAGTACGATTTATAAGACTCCATCGAGCGCATCCGTCAGTTAATTCTGACTGTTGTTTACTTCCAGACGAGCGATCGAAGGCGTTGAAGGAGGCGAACGAAAGATGTAGCCAGCTGCAAGATCTGCTCACCGCCAAAGATGCGGAGGTGAGTGTATTTGTATTACCTAAATTAGTTTGTGTTGTATTCAATTATACGTATGTTATACATATACGTACATTTATGTTGTATGTTTATAATTCTAAATTTTTTGGAACCGCGCGTTTAACTCTTTCACAATTTTACCCGTAAAAACGACCCGAAGACATTCGGGCGATCGACTTATAACTCGATACGCACGTTCGCGGTGTCCTTTTAAATAATTTTCACTGATAACCTTCGTGGGTGCGTTTCACACATAGGAAGAAAGAAATGAAAAAAAGTCACGCTCGATATACGCACAGATGTCTGCTGGTCGAGATAAGGGGGGAAAGGGCTACGTTGTGATTAGAAATTATTTTAACAGATGTCGCGTTCCCCAATAATCGCGAACGAGTGTAGAGCAAACACCGCGTCCCGCCTTATCCGTTATAACGATATTACGATCACGGATCTTTTAGACCGGTCGAAGACGACGGATCGGCGCGTAAAATATGTAGGGTACGATGACGAAATTAGGATCGGATACCAGATGCACAGTTGGAAAATTTTTGTTTTCTTGTTAAAGAAAATGCCGTTTAAAATTTTTGTGCTGAATGTTTAACACATTTATGTGTTAGTTTAACATATTACTCTTGTGTTAGTGGAACTCAGATGTAAAATTATTAAAATACTTGAAAAGAAATGTTAAAACAACGCAATGTGTACTTACTTTTTAATCTTACACAATACATATGTTCTATATTATTAGTAACCAAATTTATTTGTTCAAATTTACAGAATAAAATGTTGATTTTATTCTATATAATATGATTTCGAACTGTCATTTGACTTATTACATCTGTAAAATGTAAAAATTACATTTTTTTAAATTCATTTTGTCATTAAAAACGTGTTAATTTTACACAAAATTTATTTCGAATTATTTTAAGATTCACATTTATTTTGTGTTAAAATATTAACACAGTGTGATTATTTAACATATCCATATTATGTTAAATTAACACAAAAATTTGTGTGGACCGTTTGGGACATGGAATAGCTGTTAAATTTAACACAAAGTTTTCAACTGTGTGCGGATCAACAATTTTATGAGTCGCTAATAAGCGACATTTTGAAGTACTTAATTCACTTAAATTTGGCTCTTTTCTATATATTTACAATTTTATGCTGTATCATCGATATCGTAAAAGGCATCGACGTGCTTTTATGTCGCTTAGCTGCGACTCGCCAAATTGTTGATCCGCATTTGGTATCTGATCCGAATTTGATCACCTTACCCTGAGAACTGTCGGAGAGTAGAAAGGAAAATCTCGGATTTTATATACCTGTACAACATAGTTGCACGGTAGCGACTGAAAAACATAGTCGCTACCGTGCACGGAGAGAATTTTCCTTTAAAATTAATCCTGAAAGTCACGTAATCGTGGGACAACACGGTATTTCGAATAATTTTATGCTATATTGTCTAGTAAAGTGTGCACTAAGTATAATTACTAGTGAAATGCATGGGAAAATTTCAAAAAAGTCTCATAAAGTTGTTCCACGATTACATAATTTTGAGGATAAATTTTAAGAGAAAATTCTCCCCGTGTAGCTGATCATGGTTTGCTACAAAATATTTTGCTGCCATAACTACAAATTTCCAAACCATAGCAAACGGTTCGCCGTCGCACCTGATACAATAGGCACAGCAAAATACTCAGCTATCACAGCTAAATATTGCTGTCGACATTTTACAGCTGAAAAAAATTTAGTTACCACGTGCAGTTTTTTTTTAGCTACGGCAGCTACGTGTTTCTTTTCCGCGCATAAACGTGCGCTCGTCGAGGATTTCGATAATTCAGGATATTTCCTGGATCGATGGAAGAGCGTTACGATTTTGAGAGAGGCACTTTATATACGCCCGGACGCATTTTTTTACCTAATGGCGAACGGCCGTCGGGGGCTCGGGGCTCGAGGCTCAGTAGGGAACCCCGGCGGGGCGACGGGGGGTTTCGGCGGTACCCAGGGGTCATGCGAGATAACGCATCGAGGATCGTGGGAGGTGGGGGACCGTTATCGCAATGCAAACGCGAGATAAGAGCGGCAAATGTAAACGCGCATCGTACGTCCTGTATCCACCAGGCACCACCGGACTTCCTTCTGACTGTGCTTCCTAATATTTAAGCCGGGGGGATCCGGGACGCGATCGCCTTAAGCGCCCGAATCAGCGGGATTCTCTTCGAATTTCGCGGATAAATCCCTCTTCGCGAGGGCCGCACTGTAAAAAAAAGTTTGTAAAATTACGTACACAGTTGGAAATTTTGTGTTAAATTTAACAGATATCACATGTCCCAAACGGTCCACACAAATTTTTGACATTTAATTTGACATAATATGGATATGTTACATGTTACATGATCACACTCTGTTAATATTTTGACACAAAATAAATGTGAATCTGAAAATAATTTGAAATAAATTTTGTGTAAACACATTGTGTTGTTTTAACATTTCTTTTCAGTTATTTTAATAATTTTACACTTGAGGTCAATTAACACAAGAGCAATACGTTAAATTAACACATGAATGTGTTGAACGTTTAACACAAAAATTTCAACCAACATTTTTTTTAACAAAAAAGCACAAATTTCCCAACTGTGTAAAAATTTATGTACTTTTGCCAAAGACGTTTTTTACTCTTTGCTGTGTAAATACTTGTTTACACTTGATGAAAAATTACAACCAATTATAAAATTTACACAATTAAAAGCAAGCAGTTTTCTTATTGTATAAGGTAATAATTTTATGTACAAGGTGTAAATTTACAGACGTATGTAAATATACACCTTTAATAGATGGTCCCAATATTACTCACTAGAATAATTGTAATTTTACGTGTAATTTTTTTTACAGTGCGGTCTTCGAACGCCGGAGGCCCGTCCCTCCCGCCGCTTGGCAACAATCGCGAAAACCCGTGACAATATTCGTTTTGTCTCTGAACCTTTAGGGATTTCTTTATTTGCGAGCTCCGCTTCGAGCGACCTGCCCTCGATTTCCGTACATACAGAAACGCTTGTCATATCAATAGTGTTAAAACTTTCAGGCGACTTACGCTCAATCGCTTTTCCATGCATGGAAATGTTTTCTCGTTACATTGATAGTGTTAAATTTCGGAAAATGCACTCTTGCAATCAGTGGCGTAACTACAATGTTGGGGGCCCCCGGGCAAAAATTGAATAGGGCCCTTTATATAGGGGTCAAATTTAGGGATCATTCCAAGGTCAACTTGAAATTTTCAAAAGGGAACGAAACCCCTATTTTGACAACAAAAACGGATAGAACAAAAGATTAAGTCAAGATTTGTCATTGATCCAGCTATCTGTAAGTAATCTATGGCTCACACAAAACCCCTTCCTTTTTTCTTATACGGGCTTGGGACCGTCAATGGCAAAGTTATGTTATGTTTTTTTTTGCAATTTTGCGTTTTTATATTTTTTTTGTATTTTATATTTTTATATTTTTTGTTTTTTATTTTTTTAACTTTTTATTAGTAGGGCTTATTGGTAAATTCCCTACTGTACTAAGACGACCGTTGATCCAGCCACCTAAGGCAAGATTAAAAGATGAACAAAAAATCATTTAAAAAATATCATTAGATTATCTGCTAAATTCATTAATTTCCGAATCGCACTTAAAATTTAATTTTTCGGACCTTCTTATCTGCAAATACGTTGATAATACTGTGGAGATTATTTCTCAAATAGTTTGCTTCTTCATGTTCAATAGAAAGAATGCATAACAGTCCAGGATATTTAGGGGGCCCTTCGAAGCTGGGGCCCCCAGACCATGCCAGGGCTTCCCGGGTGGTAGTTACGCCACTGCTTGCAATAATGTTAATACACGGAGAGGATTTTCTCTTACAATTTATCCTGAAAGTCACGTAATCGCGGGACGACGTGGCACTTCGGTGAACTTTATGAGAGTTTTTTGACATTTCATCATACATTTTACTAGTAAAATGTATACTAAGCATAATTACTGGTAAAATGTACTGGTAAAATTTGAAAAAAAAACTCAAAACGCCACGTTGTCCCACGATTACATGATTTTCAGGGTAAATCTTAAGAGAAAATTCTCTCCGTATAGTAAATAGTAATAATCCGTTAATACATTGAAAGTTTAATAATAATAAATATTAATGCTCGGTTTTTTTTAATACCGTGACAAGGTGACACGTGCGCGCACGCACGAGAAAGGAACAAAGAGCATATTATATCAAAGTGCAATAGCTATAACCTTCGTGCAATTTCTTTTTTTACGCGGCGTTTTAATTTATATGTATAACTTATATAAGAATCGTCTGTCGTGCACAGATTTCTCTCCTGCGCCGGCAGAATTGCGAGCTGCAGAGAACCGTCATCGAGATAGACGCAAAGTCCAAGGAATCGGTAAGTCGATGCTTCTGTATTAAATAACTGCGGATAATTGCCGCAAAGAGCCTGCTAACGGTTGAGAAAAAAATAAATATTAAAAAACGCCTCGCCACTTGCGTTAGGCGTTGACTTTTTGCGGTATTTCGAGGTAATGGAAACCGATTATTTTTTATTATTTCTCGCCGTTGATTGGAAGATACGTGTGACGTTGCGTGCCGCGGCGGCGCGCGGAAATAGGAAGGCAATCGGCAAGAACGACGGTCGCGTCCTGCTCTTCCTCCGCGCTCTTTTTTTTTCCCCGCTTTTCGAGCGGACGCAGGCGTAAGCGCGGTTTTTTCGCGAACGTTCGACGCGTCGATTATCACCTTTTGTAAGAACCGCTCTCGCGATTACGTGACCTATAAACCGCGCGTGGAGCGTCGCTGCGCGCCCACCGTCTCTCGGTTCTCTCACTCTCTCTCTCTCTCTGTCTCTGTCTCTCCCTTCCTCCCCTCCCCTCTTTCTCTCTTTCTCTCTCCTTGTTAGCAGTCGAGACTCCCGGGGCTTCCACATCGTCGCGATAATTCAGTGTTGTTACATAATTGTAATAATAGAGCGATCCATTGTCTCTAAGTTACCTGTTGCTGCCGCTCATTAAGTTGCAAATACGATAATACTCGCGGGCGCACGCGTATTTATACATGTGTGCGGGAAGCAAATGCGCCCGCGATAACGGCAACTAGCCGTTTGGCATTATTTAGCGGATATCGATAGTAACTGTTAATAGGCGGAAAGGCCTTTTTTTTCCTTATCGGCGCCCGATAAGGGACTTCTGTTGCGTCATCGTAGGACATTGTGGTATAATTCAATATCGCGTCGTCGCGTGTATATATTTTTCGTTATATATTATTTTCCGAAATCACCGCGACGCCGTCTCGTGAACGATCGCGCGCGTGGAAGCAACGTTTCGACACGGGCCGCGACCCCGGCGGAAAAAGGAACGTCTGGAAAAAAAAGGAAAGAACAATAAGAGAAAAGAAAATGGGAGTGACGAGATGTAATTAAAAGTGCTCACGGAAAGGCCCGAGCGGCGCCGTATTTGCGGCCCCGAAACGTTTCGGATTTTGTTTCGCGTCTTTCATTGTGTGGAACGTAGTACGCGTTAGGAACGAAAGATAAGGAGGCAACACGTCGCTGCGTTCTTACACTTTATTACGTATCTTGGATCAACAAAGGATCGGTCTCACTTGCCGTGGAATGTGTCACGAATTTCTCCGGGAAGAGAATTTCTTTTACTTCTTCTTTCAGGCGAATCAACAACCGTCTCTTTTGCCCAATCTTTTTCCCTACCTTCCCTTCGCCCCGCCAACCGTGTGTATTCGTCGTATTTGCATTGAAACAATTATCGGATGTTTGATATTACTTTCGAAACCGTCGCAACGCGCCGAGAGACGTGGGCTACGTGCAAAGCCGAGGAGTCTGTAGACGCGAGCCGCCGCAAAACCGGAGAGAAACGACGAAAGAACGTTGTACATTAAACTTTGTATATTAAACGCCACGTCACTCTTCATTCCTGATAATCGATAACGTGGCAAAGAAGCGCGGGAGAGACAAGAGTACGTCGGTTTTCCAATTCCTTTATATTGTAAAGGCAGAAAATGGAAGGCAGAAGGATACGATGATTCATCGCCCGCGCGTCGTTACGTGAGTGCATCAATAGTCCTTGGAGTCACTATCGAAACGAGCGCATCAGTTCAGAAAATTGCCTAATACGCCGCTTGTAGTTTAAGCGATAGAGAAATACCACGTTTTTCGTTTAAAATTTCGAACAATTTTGATCGATGACGAGCGCTGGAGACGCGCGCGTTTACACAATGAGTAACGAGACAGCTGCGCACGATTCAAAAGAACCTAATAATAAGATACATGTATCTTATTGTTAAAACAAATGTGACAAAAGGGGGACTACTTGAGTCGAAATTTTGGCCCTATGTTGAACCTTTAATTCTGTTATATAGTAGGTCGAACTGCAAGTACAAAATTTACTCCTGCTTTAAAACTGATAGCGTCGGAAATTTCTACTGTTGCCAATTTAGCATTAAAGTAGGTCCTCTTAAGTAGGAGCTGAAGTAAATTCTTAGAATTGAAGATTCAATGGAGGAGTAAAAAATATATAATGTCATCAAAATAGGTTATTGCTGGTCTATGTAGGTGCATAGATCAGCTAAGTAGGTGTAAATTATCCTTAAAAGAATCAAAATAGTACCAAAATTTCGACTTGGGTAGTACCAACCGAAAGATGATAAGGCGTACCGGTAATTTTACGAAGAAGTATATTTATTGAGGTTTCTCCAAACCTCGGTCCTCCTTCTGGACCTTCTTCAGTGATGTGGCTATGTCTTATTCACAAAATATTATAAGAGTAATACCAGAAAAGTGTTAAAACACATGTAAAATACATCCTCTGAGGACTCTTGGTCATCAAGTATCAAATACTTGTCCAACGTCTCAATAATCGAGCCATCTCGCATATCCGGTATAATGAGTCTCATGTCTGTTCGAGTCGTACTTAATGAAGTAAAAAAAAAACGAAAGTCATAAAGGTAAATTATTTGAACTAGTGAGAGAAAGACGAGACAAAGATAATAACTTAGTAAATAGAAAGAACAACGATGAATAAATAAGTAAACGAAAGGATCGATTCATATCCAATAAAATTTTATTCTTATTTTTACATATTGCATTTATCGAGTAAGGTATACTTATAAGTATATCTTACTCGAAACCGATATGCCTGTATTATTACATATTACGTTTTTTCCACTTGTTTTGGAGCCTCGGCTCCGAGTACTCGGTTGTAGAGAAGTCAGATCTTTCGCGGGAGATTTCTTCGTGACGCAATAAGAATAAACTTCATCCTGTGATACAATAACAGTCGGTTCGACCGATCGATTTCGATTAGTAGTTCACGTACCACCCCGCAATTTCGTCGCCTCGATAACGCACCGAAGTGCGATAAGCGTACGCGATCAGGGGGTTGCGCTCAGTTTTCAGCGCACGATAGTGGCTATGGCTACTCTCTCGATCGGATGCCTATAAATACAGGCCTAACCGGGCTCCTCCGCGTTAAGTTAGCCGAGGTGCCATTTGTGCGATAAAGTTAAAAGCAGATACGAGAGGTCTTTTGGAAAATTTGCCAAGGTTAGCAATGTCGTTATTACTATTTTGCCGGTCATCCTACTTTGCGACGTGACGTCTTCCGTTTGTCTTCAATTTACTTCAATGCCACGCTGTTTAAACTCATTTTTTAAAAATAAGTTTACGTTGTTTTCTATTGTATTTTCGTTCGTAAAGTGCTGCACACCTCGCAATCGATCTCGTTAATTTCATGATTTTGCGAGTAGTGCGACTTTAAAATCACTTCTGCTTCTTCCTCCTCGTGTAATAGGCTTAAAGCGCGTGTTTATCCAGTTCGTACTGGTACTCTGAGCATTTTTGGTTTTTCACTTTATCTTCGTTAGACTGCTAACTTTGCCGAAGAAAACTTCCAGCCTGGAAGCTACACCCCTAAAGACGTGTGGGTGGCAAGATACTCTCGGTGGTTGTCACTTTCCTCTGAGAAGTAGCGTTCAAGAAAACCAGCGGTGTCCATGAAAGCCGAATCAGACTAGCAATTGCAGACTCGGATTGGATTGGGATTGGGATTGGCGATTGACGATTGTCTTCTAGCCAATGAGAGTAAATCGCTGGCTGCTTTGCTCTCATTGGCTAGAAGAAAGTCGCCAATCGCCAATTCCAACCCAATCCGCGTCAACAGTTGCTAGTCTGATTCAGCGTTGACTGGATTTGAACTCGGATCTTTTCGTTCATTTGTTTACTAAGCAGCGCGCTTCTCTGCGCCACACGCGCCACTTTAAAATTACTGGAGGGATAAAAGACTGCGGCAGACAGTAGAGTCACGCAGGAAAGAATAATATCGGTAGAACGCCATTAGTGCTGTGTATATTCGCAAAGGCATAATTGCATTACGATCCATACTTCCGTTTGTCATTTCGTCGACTTCGGTTCTCCTTCCGCTACCCTTATTGCCCTTCGTCAAAAACGATTTTGCGTAGCTGCGAGAAAGCAGAAACGATGCCACGAATAATCAGATGGCACAAAACACGGGTGTCTGTATAACAGTTGCGGTTGTTCTTCTCGTCCCCCCACGGTCCGTCGTGTCTCGCTGACAATGGACACAGCTCCTTCCACCTTTCCATTTTAAATTTGTATTCCTAATCGTTTCCCTTCTAGGCGGAAGAGACGAGTCTCCGTGTCGGGCCTCCTACCGCGATTACCGCTGGCGTGCTCTCGTTAAAATGCTCTCCCATTTCCTTCAGCTGTGCCCGCAGCAAACGCGCTACCATAGGGGCCGATAAAAAATGTCCTGTCGACGCCTGCGTTAATAACAGCGACGCGCCGTGCGTTCCGTACGCGATTGCGTTCTAAACGGCGAACGGTCTAGTTGCGTTACGCACGACTTCTAAATAATTTCGTCCGACTGTTACATAATGGCGAGCAGCTCTAAGAGCCTTTCTGACCTCGACTTTATAACTGTCTTACTACCGAGGGGGTTTCCAAATATCCCCGAATATGATACATTAATCGATACATAATACGATACATTAGACTCAAGGGAAAGTAAAGGCCGCCGAATCAGACTAGCAACTGTCGACGCGGGTCGGATTGGGATTGGCGATTGGCGAGTCTTCTAGCCAATGAGAGCAAAGCAGCCAGCGACTTACTCTCATTGGCTACAGGACAATCGTCAATCGCCAATCCCAATCCAATCCGAGTTGGCAATTGCTAGTCTGATTCGCCCTTAAAGCCCGGTCACAAACTTCTATATACTAGACTGCTGCCTTCGAGCTGAAAAATGAGGCAAGAGTTCCGCCATGTCTTATTAGATAAATAAAGTAGTATGTGTGCATCGGTGTGTCACTTATTTACCTAACAAGACATGGCGGAACTCTTGCCTCACTTTTCAACTCGAAGGT